TAAATGTTTGTCAGTCTCTGAATTTTAATAGTGTTACTGTAATAGAGCCTATTATTAAATATTGGAATGGTACCTTATAGATTTATAACCAGGTAGCAGAGCAGCTTAGCTCAGTTGCCTAAACTGGTGGTAGCCTCTGTGCGCGCTAAAACGCGGGGATTTCTAGGTCTCCGATACAAATAAAATCAAATCATTCTTTATTCATCACTCAAAATGGGTTGAATTTTATATAGTAAAGGGTTCAAGCAGAAAAATCTAAACAATCAACATTTAAACATTTTTTTAACAAATAGACCCACATCACAATAACAGCAAAATTAAACAGTTTAAAGGGCAAAAAGGCAACCAATATTAAATTATTATTATTAATTATTATTATTATTATTATAATTATTATTATTATTATTATTATTATTGGAATTATAATTATTGTAGTGAGATTATTCTATCGTTCCTGTTATAGCTACTCATTTTTAAGGCTTAATTTCAGCACTAGAGATATTCAGAGTACCCAGAGAGCCCAACATTTTTCGGGGCCCTTGGACGGGCCCTCGACTCACGTCAATTGAGTTATTTCCTGTTAAATCTCAAGCCCCTAGCTACCTCCAACTTGGCATGTATTCTATATTTCAACATTATTGAGTAGTTGGATTCTTTCTTCCATAGATCGATGAACTGATAGGGCTGAAGAATACACTTTCGTGCATAATTATTACGACGTCGAGCCAAAACAGTGTTTCTAATGTATTTAATTGAATGCTAGTTGAGCTAAGCCTATATATATAATACGCATACTTTATAAAACATAAATTAACCTAATTTTCTGATAAACAAATTAAATAACATTAATTAAATGAAATATATTTAATGATATAGCCGTATTTGCTACCATCAACCGTAACACACAATTTTAAATAAAAGTAGGCGTATGATGACATAATTAATGTCGAAATATTAAATCCCAACACGATGGCGTGTATTTCAATACTTGGAGTATGTATTATACTTTCTTATCTGCGATTAATCAGTGGACCTTTCAGTAGTAGGCGTATCGTAGAAGAGAATCACTAATGGGAATTGACCTCCCTCCGAAGTACTGTAGAAGTACAGAAATAATAGAGTATTGTCTTTGTGGATGAAATATATAATATATAATGAAATATATAGAACGACGAGGAAAAAGGTGTGGAAGCATGTTATAAAGATATCCTGTTTTCTTTCCTGTATTTCTTTTGTAAAACCGGATTTAAACTTTCAAAACCTTTTTACAATGTGTATTTATTCTTCATCAATACGGTATTGCGAATGCATCAATAGTCAATCAGTCAATTGATTGAATAACGCTTTTGTATCATCGGCACACCTTTTAAGTGTAACCTTACAATGACTAGACAATAATTAATTGATGTAGAGAAAACACAAAATAAAAATAAAAAAATATGTTCTCTCTTATAAAGTATAATGAAAATAACCTGATGGAAAAAATCAATAGAAAAACTAAGAGGAACAATGCATCGAAAAAATGGGGGGTGGGGATAGCCTGGGCTGGGAATAACTCTCCATGTAGAAAAAAAATCAGTGGGGAAAATTAGCAGGTTGCAAGTAGCTACCGTAATAGTTATATATTCTGTAAAGTAAAGCCTCAAACCACCTCGATTTTGAGTCTACTAAATTTAAAAATCTTCCCATGCTTTTGCAGATATAGCCAGAACTAACTTAATATTTGGAGTTTTTTGATAGCAGATATTTTAATTAGATTGTAGGGAGTTAACCCGACTCAAAGACAAGCTTGCGTACAAAAAAAAAAAACATGCACATTCATCTTTTTATACAATTAAAATCAAAATGTTATTGTAGATAGACATTTTGAAAACAAGGACAAAAAAGAACCAAAAAAAAAAAAATTCTCCCATATTACAGAAACTTCTTTGTTGAAACTAATACAGAAACAAATTCTTTTGTATTTAAAATATTTTTTTAAATGAATTAATAATGAATTATAATTTTAATAAAACTAATTTCTTCTAATTTTAAATATATTTTCCCTGAATTTGTGATTATTCGTCGTCATGCATGGACTAAATGCGTGACAAATTTAAGATCACGCATGTGTTTCTGCCAAATGCATGTTACATCCAAAATCACTTTGAAGCGGGACCGTCCCGCACGATGCGCGAGAAACGGTTGGTAATGCGTTTTGTAAGCCAGGAACCACCAGTATTTTGTTACGTTTCTTCACAGAGGGAGGTTCGTTAGAACCCCCCTTGATCCGCCACTGCTTTCCATTGACACCAATCATGACCATGTTTTATGTGGTGCGTCAGCCATCTTGAAATTCAAAATGGCGGCCGATGACTTTGGGAAAAAATTGCACTTAACTTTTTTGATTTCAGCGCAGTAAAAATGATAAAATTAGTCAACAAATCTATTTTTGCTCAAAAATCTATCTGGATTACATAGAAAACTAGCTTATGTAAACTCGTTCTTATTTTATGTACATTTTAAGTAAGTATATTTTGCGATTATTTTTAAACAAATAAACACCTATTTTTTAATTATGTTCCATTCTTGCTTGAGTGACAGTAGTTTTTATATGTCTAGATTGTTGCCTGTCTAGAAATTATGAGTTTAGACACCAAAATCATATCTGTAGATTATTTAGTTTCAATTTTATGCACATTTTAGATAAATTTGGAGGCCATTTTTCAAAATGGCCGCCATTTGTATACAAGGAGTAAAATCAAGTGTCAACAGGGCTTAGGGTGACCAGAAGGGATTAATTAGGATATCTGGATATGTGGATTGCTTCTAACATTCCACTCCCCCTAACTCATTTTTTCAGATTTTTTTTTCTAGTCTATATGCCTAGTCACATGTAGTACGTCCTACTGTACTTAGGCCAGGCCTACACTAGTTTGTTGTCGTCGGATTCTGTCTCTAAATGAACGAGGAGCGAACCTAGCTAGTCAACATCTAAGTTAGGCTAATTGATTTTAAAATCAATAACCCACCTTAAAAGACTATCTGTCGTTTTCTTCTTTGCAACAGCGGACGAAAAAAAGTCAGTTATTCTACGACGTTTCATGATTCTTTATCATTAAAAATTAACAAACACTCGTTTTGACGCACTCCGTTCTGTAGTGTGTGTGTGCTGTTGAAAACAAACTTCCTAGCCTAATTTTGTGGCTGGATATGATGACTGAGATGGACCATGTTGATTTGTTAATAATATTTTGTTTTGGATGGAAAAAAGGAGAGTCACTATCCCCCAAAATGCTCCATCAGCACATAGTTTAGTGTGCGCTATGAACAGTATGTCTATGGAATTTACTAACCACAGAATCCTCAATCAGGTGATTAAGTCGCAAAACTTTATCTGCATTTGGTGGATTAAGTCGCAAAACTTTAGCTTCGTTTGGTGGCACCATTTACTCTAGGTAGATGGCGACCGGTTTCGTTAATGGTTGGTACATTTCTTACAAACATTCAGCCAAAGGCCAGTAAAAGTTGAGACGGCAGCCGGGTTTTTTTTTATCGATGTTTGCCATCCTTATGTGTGGCATTGTAAAGTCATGGTTTTCTGGAGTTGCGTTCAATTTAAATCTCCGAACTTCTGAACCTGAGATAGGCTATTCTATAAATGTAGGCTTGTATCGCAGGCTACAATTTAAAAACAGATTACCAAATAATGAATTAGGTGCTAAATTTTGATTTAATGCTAGGGAAGTTAAAAACAGACATTCCGTCTGAGTGGGCCTCATTTAAAAATTCGAGGGGATTCGCTAGAAAACAGGGGGTTCGCTAGAAAAAAAAAACCCTGGCTACGGGCCTGTAGCACCAGGTGAAGACAGGCTCCTGTGCAAGGTTGATTAACAGGTTTTGATATGAGTGTCAACCGAGGCCCGTATCCCGAGTTCGTTGTCACATTTTCAATGCACACAATCGGACAACAAAATAATTATCCTGGGGCGGATCCAGGATTTGAAAGGGGGGGGGGGTTCATTCCCCATATTAACCCAAACGTGAAAGTGGGGTCCGGGGGTTTTTGATTCCTAGATGGCTGGAAATCAACATCATTGAGTAGTTGGATACGTAGCCTTTCTTCCATAGATCGATAAAATAGGCCCGAAGAACATACTTTCGTACATAAATTATTACCACGTCGAGCCGAAACTGTTTTTAATTGTATTTAATTGAATGCTAATTGTTCTATATGGGGTGCCATACGCAGCAAAAGTCCATGTTAAAATCAAAATGTAATTGCAAAATTCAATGTCTAATTTATCAAAACGTAGGCGTAAATTTCTCAAAATGTAGATCTAGTTTTCCAAAATGAAGTTCTAATTTTTCAAAACGTAGTTCAAATTTTTCAAAAATGTAGTTGTAATTTCTTTAAAATGTAATTTAAATTCAAAACGTAGGTCTGACTTGATCAAACGCTCTCTCCAAATTCTTTTCCAAAACGTAAATCAAAAACCAGCCTGGTTTGAAATGCATTTGACAACAACACTAGAAACTGACTTTTGCTGCGTATGGCACTAGACTTGCGAAATGTAAAGCAAAACTAATCAGCCAAGCATGACGTGGGCCTGTTCCATTAGTGATATTTTCTCTTCTAATGATGTGGAAAGGTGTAGTCGGCCCCCACAACAATTAAACATGACTAACGTCTTCATACCTAATGTGCATGCCAACAAAAAACTGAATAATATTCCTAATAATAGGAAAAAGTGCTGTGTGGGAGCAGCAACTTTTTTAAAGTGGAATTTAGGTCAAATAAACATTCAGTCATGTTCAGACGACTTAAGGTTAGATAATCTGATAAAGGAAAGCAAAAAGGCCAACCTTGATGTAGTTTGTATACGAGAGAGGAGACGAATAAATGAGGATTCGGTTACTCATCTTGGTTACAACGTATATTGGACAGGCATGAAAATAAAGCGATTATATGGAGTTGGGATTGCCATTAAAAATGTTCGTACATTCATAATGATGGTATTATGCATATATCTCCACGGCTGATGGTTGCTGATATCAAGGTCCAAGGGTGTAAGATAAGGTTAATATCAGCATATGCGCCAACGGAAGACAAACCACTATCTATCAAACAAAAATTCTATAGAGAGCTTAATAACATCTGCAAGGTGGAAAAGAACCGAAAATTAATTATTCAAGGTGATTTTAACGCCACCTCCTCCATCTGCTGCAGAGCGTCTTCATTTAGTGGCCGAAACTACAAAGCTTCAGAAGATGAAACGTGTAACGAAAACGGAGGAATTTTCCTCGACTTTTGCAAGAAAAACAATTTTTCAATATTAAACACCTGGTTTCAGCATAAAGAGGCACAGCGAATTACATGGCACAGCGCGGATGGTAGAACCAAGAAAGTGTATGATTTCAGCATCTCCGAGTCTTGGCTCCGACAGTTTGTTAAAGATGTGAGAGTTAAAAACTCATATTTCTATTCAGACCACAGACTTCTCGTAACCAAGCTCGCCACGCCATCTAATAAACCTGCAAGATGGTCACAGAAAAAGAAAGGCCGAAGCAAAGTTGAATTTGGCTATCTGCACAACGATAGTTTTAAACAAGAAGCACAGGAAATAATAAAGCTGTCTTTCGTAAACAACAATATCAAAAACATAAATATAAATGAGCAACACGATATCTTAATCCATACGTTACAAAAAAGTAAAGACAAACTACCAATAATTAAGAAACCCAGACACACAATTCCTTCCTACCTGATAGATGAAAGGTATCAGTCACTTATCAAACAACGAAAAGTATTAAGGTGTCAAAAAAATGAAAATAACAAAACTAAACTCAAAGAAATAAACAAGCAAATAAAACAAGCAACCAAAGAAACAAAAAGCAGAATGCTAAAAGAGGAGGGACATAAACTCAATGATGCAAGACAGCATAGACATGTCACAAAACTATGGCGCAATGCAAAGACGCATGGGAAATTTATCAATACCAAACCCCGAAATAATGTATGCTCAGGTCTTGCAAAACATTTTAAAGAACAATTTAACCCAGACCATTCACACCTGACAATGCCAGACGATATCAAAAACCCACCAGAGTGCATCACAAAGCTGCAGAACCACGTAAACGATATAAACAATTTACCTCCTACACTACCCGAAATTAAAATTGCTATAAACAGTCTGAATAACGGAAAAGCTTCTCTGGATGTCGAAGGAGATATCCTAAAAATTGCCATAGAATCACAAGAATATTGTGAACGTCTTGAAACATACCTCCGGAAAATATGGGAAACGAAAGAAATACCAAGTCGATGGGGAGAAAGCAAAATAACACCACTCTGGAAGAAAAAGGGAAGCGCACTCGATGCAAAACAATTCTCACAAAGGTAAGTATGAACATAATACTTAGTAGGCTTTCTATTTTTTATGAAAATCAGCTCCTGACTACACAATTTGGTTTCCGGTCTGGCTCTGGGTGTAACGATGGGATTTTTTTTGTACTAAAACAACTTCAGGAGGTACACATCGCTCAAACAGGAAATTATATACCTGCTATATAGATCTCACTGCAGCTTTCGACCACGTAAACCGCTCATTCCTCTTCCAATCAATTAGAAACAGGATACCAAACGACCAGACAACCGACAATATTGACATCCTTGAAAATATGTACAGTTCCACATCAGCTTACTTAACAAATGAAGACCCAATAACGGATTCTTTCGAAACAACTGCCGGAGTAAGACAAGGTGGCAACGAAGGTCCTAATCTGTTCAATCTATACATGGACTATGCGTTGAGGATATTTAAAGACAGATGCGAAAAGGCAGATATTACTCTTTCAATTCCATATTTAATACCTAACGAGGCAACAAATCGAACACAAAGAGCAGCATATACATCTAAAGGATTCTACAATTTTATTGAGGGGGGATATGCCGACGGCTTAAGTGTAAGTAGCTGGTCATCGGATGAATTAAACCAAATATTAAAGTTACTGCACAAAATTTTTAGTGAATTCGGATTAGAAATAAATCATTTCAAAACAGATACCATGATCTGGAACTGGGATGAAACTAAAGATGGCCAATACCCAGAAAGCTTTATCACTATTAACAATAACAGTATCTGTAACTCAAAGGTGTTTAAATATCTAGGTGTCTGGAACACGTTTAACAACATTCACATTGGTCAAAGGGAAATCGATCACAGACTTTCTAGTGCTAGGGCGGCTTTTTCTGAATACAAACATTTGCTTGTAAACAAAAACATTAAACTTTCCACTAGAATTATATTTTTAAATGCATTTGTTCGCTCAAGACTCACCTATGGCTGTCATGCATGGCGGCCAACTAAGGAAGAATTAACTAAATTTGATACAACATACAGATTTTTTCTGCGATGTATGATAACCAACGGATTCAAAAGGAAAAGTTCTACAGGTGTACAAGGTGATGTCTCTGACGGTGACATACAATGGGGACTCTGTATCACTAATACACGACTACATAATATAACACTTACACAATCTATTACAGAATTTCACATTGAGCAGCAAAATAAATGGGTTGCACATGTAGTCAGAAGGGAAAATAATAATGAATAATATTTCATACAACCTAAACTAAGAAAGGAAGGAAAATAAATTCAATTGTAGAAAATGCCATCATACATAGCTGAAACCTAAGAATCAATTTCTAAAAGCAATGTTTTGAATGACATTCTAATACAATTTTCTATCACTGAAATAGTAAATTAATAGGCTCTATATTATAATTACACTCATTTTAGGTGTCCTAAGACACGTGTTTGACTGTGTGCATTTATTTTATTTTGATTCCGCCACATACTTGCATTCTAATGAAAGCTATGGCTATAAAAGAAAGTACAACCGTAGAACGAAAAGCCAAGAAATGTAAAGCAATGAAATAAGATTAAAAGAAAGAAGGAAAATAAAAATAGAATAAAAACGGAAAAAAAAAGAGAAAAAAAAAGAAAGAAAGGATGGAAAAGAAAAGAAAGGTAAGTAAGAGAAAGAATACGATAAAAACAAGGAAATGAAAAATCAGTGAATCGAAAAGGAAGATAATGAAAGGTAAACAAAAAAAAGAAGGACATGAACAGAATTAAAATAGAAAGAAAATGAAAGGTAAACAAAAGAAAGAAGGACATGAATAGAATGAAAAGAAAGGGAAGAGGGGGAAAAGGAAAAGAGAAGAAAGATAAAAAAAAATGGTAAGGAATAAATAGAAAGAAAACGAAAAGGAAAGAAAAGAAAAGAAAGAAATGAAAAGAAAGAAAAGAATATAAAGGAAACGAAAAGAAAGAAAAAGAAAAAAAGGAAAAGAAAGAATATAAAAGGAAAATAAAAGAAAGATTAGAAAGAAAACGAAAGGAA